TTGTATTCATCAACTAGAAGTTCCTAATGAGATCCCCCCCACCCCGGTCTAAATACTTCTGTCACCATTTTATAATCATGAGAACTGTTTACCTGTCTGTATATCTAAGTTTTAAATTCTAGCGTACATCATTTCTTAGAGGGACTGCCTCCAACGTTAATCATACAGGAGGTGCATCTAGTATATAAGATGAGTTCTCTACATTACCTCTTTCACCTTCCACTTCATCACTTTTGGAAACCCTGCCAGTACACTGTCTGCTGGGAACAGCTGTCTTCAGAGTGTGCTGGTATTTCTTTCTTGATAATAATACACACTTTCTTACCTGGACATTTCTGATGCAATTGGTGCACATAACTGTGCAGAGATGAAAATCAGGGAAGTTAATTTACTTAATCAAATCTTAAAAAAACAAAACTGATTTTGGTGAAGGAGTGTTTTGGCAGCTGATGTAGGTTACTAATTTTATGTGAACTAATATGTCCCCATGGTAGACAAGACCAATGTTGTAATGCAACATGCTAGCAGTGTGTGCTCTAGGCCACATCAATGTCATTCTATTTATTAAGTGCATTTGCTTTTGTCTTGGTATTAAAATCATCGTCTGCACCTGACTAGTACAGAACCCTGACAAGAAGATTTTCCACCTCTCAAGATTCCTTGTAGATTATGTTTTCTAGATTAAATATTAAAGTGTCAAGTTAATCCCACTCTGTATCACAATGTAAATATATTTTGAATAGATTTGCAATTTAAGAGACAAAATAAAGTATTTAAATAAAACATTTTCTTAAAAGAGTGGTTTTGGCTTTATATGAGAAAGGACTGTAATTTGTTCACTTAAATAATTATCACTGTTATTCTACCACCACCTTTGGCTTTAGGCTATCTTTGCTGTATATAACTCTTCAATTGTAATGTGTGGTATAGGAATCATGGTACTGTATTTTGTGTCTGCTAGTAGCGTATCATTTCTAGTTCTTCAAGAGGTGTATTGAATAAAGGCTGCATGGTGCGAAGAGGTAAAGGTCAAGTGCTTTTGAAACTTACTGAATCATTAATGTAAAAAAATGATCACAAGTATAATACTGCAGGTGGTCTCAGATGTGCAAAATTGTTTCCACTTCAGATAGAAGGCTGATTGGTATCATTGCAAAGAATCATATTTGCTGTCTGCAATCTGTTTTTAAGAATTTAGTTTGGCCTGGCTTTACTGAAAGTTGACAAAAGCCTTTTTTTTTTCTTCATTTCAGCCTGCTGTATTTCCACCCTGTCTGCTTATGTGTTTACCAGAATAAACATTATCAAAAATATAGTAGCCATCCTATTCTTTGGAAGAGATAACCTTCTGAAAAATGTGCTATGGATTAAATATTCTATTCAAGAAATATCTTGTGCGCAGTTGAAAAGAATTTTCACTGGTACCCTTAGCAGAAAATCCTAGCAGTAGACTTCAAGCTCACAGTGCTACCTTTGAACGTTGTTACACTGAGTGTACCTCGCAACCTATAAATGCCAGCGTTGTACGTATAATGTTCACCAGCCTATGGTCTTCTGGCAGCGTATACTTCTGTTGGCTTTGGTAGTTCTAAGAAAATGCAATTCTTTCTTCCAATTCTTACTAATTTATTTACATAAACTTAAAAAGCTCAATTGCAGTGTGTGTTGGGAGTTGGAATAATCTTGCTGAGGCATAAAAGAGACTTATTTAGGGGTAGATATAGGCCTGATGGTCAGGAACCCTGTTTTTTCATCTCATTTCTGTACTTTTGGCATCTACTATGTAAAAAAGATAAAAGGATGCTTTTTCACTTTTGTGAAGGACTTTGAGATCTGCAGAAGAAAAGGAAAATGCTATTAAACAAAAAAATGTGCTAATAACCCCTTAAAAATATATTTGCTCTATTTTTCTTTTCTTGATTCTGTCATGCTGCCTGTGTGAATACTGTTACAGGTTGTACAACCTACGGTATCTGGTCTTTAAACTCATTGAATATAAGCATGAAAAACTAGAACCTTTTAGACTATGGTTATTAAAATCACAATTAAAAGATAGAAGCATAACTTTATGATTTAATCTGCAGTGGAAAATAATGGTCTTCAAGGTGGGGAGTCTGTCTGCGGTTAGTGGAACAGAAGTGTAAACATGCCTTAGTTAATTGGCCAGTAAGTCATACGTGCTAAAAGCCTCCTGGTGTGTAGCAGGCTGTGTAATTTTAGACTACACAGTATATAAAAATACACTGCTGAATGTAACAAAGTCTTTCTGGTCTATTAAAGTACTGGCAAGTGGCATAAGGGAACAGAGTGTGCATAGATAAGGGAGTCACTCTGTAGGGGATTAGGTAAGGTAACCAGGGGCCAGTCCTGCTGCTTTACCTTTCATCGTGCCAGCAGGTTCGTGCTATTTGCATGCACAGGATTTTGGTCTACTTTTGAGGCAGAGCTAAGGACCATTCCAATGTTGGAATAAAAAGGGCATAGGAGATAGCTCATTCTCTCCTCCAGAATGTCGTTGCTGCTGAGCAGCAGTTTAAACTTATGGCTGGAATAGTACTCTGCACCCAGGAGTTGCTCGTTTTGATTGATTTGCTTAGCTCACCTGCTATAAACAAAGGAGTTTTGAGCCAGGCTGCACACATGCAGTTATTTTATGATGATTTCTGTGAATAGTTGTTAAGACATTAAAACAGGGGGCAAGGAAAGTAGATACATTTTATGGTAGGAAAGAAGCAACAACAATAGTATAGGGTATGACAATGTACTTCAAAATGATGGTGACAGTCATTAGGACATACCATGCTGCTTTTAAAAAAAGGTAATGAGGAAACCTGATCTGTAGCATTTTGGGGTTTGGTTTATTTTTGGTGAGTTGGCTTTTTTTTTTTTCTTTTGTTCCTTGAAGCTAGAGACAGAAATACTGAACTCTTAGAAGTTAACTGAGACTGCCACCCAGAGCTCTGGATCCAATCTGTAGACTCCCTGGGTAGAGCATAAGGAGACTTAAGCACCTTGGAGTACAGTGTGCTGAGTCAGCAGCTGCCGCATGCCAGCCTGGAGGGAAAGCTGAGGAAAAGCAGATAGTCTGAATCCTTCCTTTACCAGGGACTAAATGTTCTATAATGGCTCTTCTGGGATACAGCAAATACCGTTGTTATGTGCTGCTTCTTAGCAGTCTTACTGCTAGTTTCTTAACTTCAGAAAGGTTAATAACTGCATTTCGGGACAGAGGTATTATGTTTACACTGAAAAGATAACAGTACTACAGTATTGTGTCTATGAAGCTCTCTCAGATTTTTGGTTTTGGTGGGGGTTTTTTGTGGTTTGGTTTTTTTTTGTTTTTTTTGTTTAAAGCTTTACAGCAGCTTTGGGATTCTGATACTGAGTTCTGGGATACCTAGCTGATGGTATTGTACCATAACTACATTAGTTAAAATCACTATAAACCTAATGGAGAGACTTAGGTTGTAATTTAAGAAATGGTTATGCACTTTATGTGGGGACAGTCTCACATAAAATGCAGGAACGGCCATCTGGATAGAAACCCGGTCTTGCTCTCGGGAAAGACACTGGGCTGCTGGGATCCGGTTCGCTTGTGCAGTTCCTAATGTTCCTCTTGTGAACTCTGGAACAGATCCCATACCACCAGTATGCTGGGAAGCACTGGGGATCCAGGCAAGCAGGAGCACAGGCTGGGAGCACTCGTAGGCTGTGGAGGGCACAGAACATGGACGTTCTGTGGCCTAGACAAAGCCTTTCTGCTACGCTGTTAAGCATCTCCTGTCCTATATGCAACAGAAGAAAAAGAAGTCATTGCAGCACTGTGTGTATATCCCATTTGGGAATATCGTGAGAAACTGATATTTGATTGTGCAGAGTGGGTTTATTGACTGAACTGATGAACTTTGCTGAATACTGAGAAGTTTCTGCATATGCTGAATATCAGAATTAGAAGTTTCCAGGATCTTGCTATTTAAAAAGTTAGCATTTTGTGAGTTTAGAGATCTTGGGCACTAATTCCTCAGCAGGTGCTTTTGGGTTTGCAGTTTTAGATTTGGGCTCCAAACCTAGGTTTACAACCTATTTTGGGAACCAGTTATTTGTGTAAATGTGGCTCTTCTGCTTCTTCATGCAACCCTTTCTCTCACAGAACAATTTGATAGTTAATTCTTTTCAAACCAGTGATGTTTTCTTCATAAAGAATTGGATTACTCAAAGAAAAGCTGCAGTATTTCCTGTTTGCTAGAGAACGTTCTCACCTCGGTACAAGGAGGCAAAACTAATGTTTTGTTTTGTTTTTAAATGACGACTATAATATGGTCTCAGTGCTTTCATTATATTCCTGTAGCATCCACCTGATTTTTATTTTAGTCTTTGTAACCCTTATACTTGACATTTTAATCAATATTTCTGCATTTGATGTTTTCTTCAGTCAGTTTTAAGACTCATCCTCCAATTTGCAGCTCCTGGGATCGTCCATACCTCTCCTGATCAGTTGGTCATTTTTCTCTTAAAACTAAAATTTTCTTATAGATTGCTTATGGTTGGGGGTTTGGTTT